CAGGACAAAAACACCTTGGAATCCTTAGGAAACCAGACGGAAGGAAACAAACAGACGTTCAGACTGGGTGAAGTGTCCATTCCCTCGCTGTCTCCTTGACAAAGCAACCCCCAGGGGGCTACTCGCTTTCCCAGGCTTCCTTGTGTGTGTGTGTGTGTGTCCTCTGCACAAATCACACCAAGAGAAACTTAGTCAACACAATAGTGATCTTGAAACCATCCAACAAGAATTGTGATGTAGTAAGCCGGTTAACCCCCTTCAGCGGTTTGAGCCGCCCAAAATGGGGTATAAAGTACCCTGACCAGAGTCAGGCCAACACCTAAACATGAGTTGACAACAATTGTTTCGGAAGTGTGTCTTGAAAGCACTCCCTTTGAGCTGTGTAAACACATTTGGGCGCCTCTTGATAAAGGGGGAGGCCCAAAATCTACTGTAATAGTTCTCCCTTTGGCGTCCCTTTACACCAACCTCCAAAAGGGACCCCACAAAAAAGAAACGGCGAGACCCATTTGCCCAACCCCCCAAAGAACCCCCCCCCCCCCGTTCCCCCCCTCCCCCCCCATCCCCACCCCTCCACCCCCTCCCCACCCCCTCCTCTCCGGTCAATCCGCTCGAAAAACAAAAAATCGCTCGAGGCGCTGGCTGGCCCGCGCGCCAGGCGTGGTCTGCCGGGGAGAGGCCCGCGGCGTCTCGGGCGGAGACCTGGATTTCCAGATGGCGGTGGCTCGTCTTTCTTTGGACGTTGGTGCCTTTTTTTTGGCGGGTTTAAGGGAGAACCACCAGGACAACCATTTATTTATTTTTGTCCGGGGGGGAGGGGCGGCCTTGTTTCTGGTGGGTTTAAGGGAAAATCACAAGGACAGCCACCACTTTTTTTTGGGGTGTGGGAGGGGGACGGGGGGTCGCGAAAAAAAGGAGACATCCAGGTGTTTCCATTTTTTGCAATAGGAAGCCATTGGGCTTTTATAAAGACCCAATGCACGCGGAAACAATGCCACTCGTCAATTTTCTCCAAAGTTGCCCAGGTGAGTTTAGACCCATCCATCGGTCGTTGCTCTTAAAAGGGCTCCTCCAACAAACAGGAGAACAACTCATCTCTGAAGGTCTTGATAGACTTCGAGCTTCCAAAATACCCCCGTAAAAACGAGCCCCAAGGCTCGTAAGGTTCGCAAGTCGGGGGGTTTTGTTCGCCGAATCGTTTCCCCTAGTCCGCCCATCTTTCCGCCCCCGAATCGGTCAACCCTGCAACGGTTGGCTTCATTTGAACCTTGACTCGGGTCTCCGATCGGAGCGCCATGAGATGCAGAGCAGGGAACCGGAAAAATGCCAATTTGCCCTAGGTCTATCGCAACTATGTTTCCAAGGAACCCCGAAGCTTAAATCCTTGGTGAGATGTCCGATTCGTAGAACAAGCATATTGGACAAGTAAAGAAACAGCCCGAACAGCCCCAACAGCTGTGAACGACGACAAACAGCCACAAAACAAGTCATAAGCAGCCAACATATGGACAACAAAAAAAGGAGGAGCAGGCAATCAACAATACGGCGAGCACCACGGCAACCAAGTAAAACACCCACACAGCGCAATCATTAATTCGGCAGAGCGCAGAGCTAAGAAACCTCCACAACTGTGGTGCGCACTAGGAACAAACGCGCAACGAAGCGATCCAAACACCGGCGTCGAAATCCGGTGGCTTCCTAAGGGAATCGAGCGTTTGGGATTGGCTTGGGCATAAACTTCAACTGGCACGAGGCTGTTCCAATCAAACGCAGTTTCAACTCTACATTTGGAATTCAAGATTTATCCACTATGATTTTAGCGACAAACCCATCACAATAAATTATGCTATCACACGCTGGCCCTTTTAGGCAGTGTACATCAACCATCGCGAGCCTTTTTGACATTGGCCCAACCATCAAATTCATAGATCAAAGACAAATGTCATCTTGATTGCCCTCCCGTCCACCAACATTGGAACCCCACCAATCTTTTCCCTCAGAAATGGACCCTCTGGTGGGTGCCATGGCAACGTGGACGGGCATTTAGGCACGCACCTCCTACATGGGTCTGCGCACAACCCGTGCCAGGCTTGGCCAACCCTTAGCTTAAACATGTTTAAGCCAAGCTCCTTGTTGCTCGGGAATCAAAGGCTGCTTGCTCAAATATATTCCAAGGAACACACAAGTCGCACACGATTAAACTCGCCAACTATAGATTCAAAGGACTTTCGTTTTGGGCGTGTCTCAAAATTTGGGACCCCTCCAAAAGGTACCCTCCAAAAAAAACATCCCAAAAGGACTGCCCGACAGGCCCCAGAATCCAATCTGCGGCAGGATTCTACTGGGCTGCCCTCAGATTCCGGATGGCTGGGAGCCACCAAGATTTAGAGGCGAGGAGCATTCGCTTGAAACTTCACCAGCAACTTGGTGAGCAGCGCGTCGCCTCTGCTGGCTGCCCAATGGATGGGCCTCACGCCCGTTCGCGGGTTGCCCGCCTGAGGCGATCCGCCTCTGTGTAGTAGGAGCCTCAGCCCGAAGACAGTACCCTACTGTGGACGGACGGAATCCATGTCGCACCATCTAAAAAACCCTGGAATAAAAATAATACTCTTGTAAATACCAAGAAACCATGATTTGCCATGGCTTCAAAGTGCTGCGATCGGATTTCGTTCATCCACAGCATGTTCATTCCCAGTATAGCCATGTTGGGGGTCACTGTCTAGTGGACTTGCTGGGGTGATGTTCGGGGAAATATCGGGCAGCTTCACGGTTCAGTGCCCCAACATGTGGTGCTAAGACATACCAAAAGGGGAATGTAGGGAACCCTAGCAGAAATGAACATCCACAGTGTGTCATTTTTAGAGGATACACTTCGGTGTAATTGGTCTTATCCAAGAGAAAGTTGTGTTTTGCAGTTTCCACTTTTTGAAACATCAAAGCAACATCGATGCTTTTCCAGTCTGTTTCCCAAATGAGGTGTGTTTGGATGCTTCTCTCCAATGTGTAGCCCGCGGTTGGGAGCAAAACCATTTTCCGACCCAACAAGTCGGCTTGCAACTTGACGATGGGTAATTCGCACAAAACCTAGACGGTAGGGAACAAACTTGAATCTGTTTTTGGCTGGGTTTAACGGGACACCCAACATTCAGGGAACGCGTAGATTAGTGGTTTGGGGATTTGACCCCCTGGTTCTTGTAGAGGGTAGACGGGAAGCGCCTCCTTAACCACCAAACCACCAATTCCAACCACCAAGTAGAGGGAAGCAACATTCACATGCCCAAGGAAAGAAAAGGAGGCCACGGACTGTACCACAAAGCCGAGCAACAGCGTGCTGTAAAAGTGGCCGTGCTGCACGGCGACAGCCAGCGCTGAATTCCCGCACGAGTCTTCTGTGCTCACCTCGGCCTCAGACAACAGCTTCGGATGTGTGCTACAAGGTCTTTTCAGCCGGGTGTTTGGATTGTTTTCGCGGTTGCTTTTTGCTCCCCTGCTAAAAGTTTAACTTCTAGTGGTTTAACGGAAAACCCATTAGTTGGCAAAAAGTTAAAGTCTTAACATCCATCTGTTTTGTTTTATGTGTTGCTGGGTTGGTTGGCTCGTCCGTTTGTCTGTTTGTGTGTTTGTTTGCTTGCTCGCTGGCTCGCTCGCTCGCTTGCTTGTTTGATTTTGTTAGCTTGTTCTTTGTTTCTTTGTCCTTTTTTGTTGGGGGGGGGGGAGACGATTTGCGGGGAACACAACATGACACGGAACGGATTTGTATAGCTTTGGCACATGCACGCGACATGTTGGATGAAATTGTGAGGAGCGGCACAAGTTACTTGGGACACCTCAAAGAGCAGTTTACTTCCCTTTCAACCTAAGAAAGGGATACTTTCGCAAAAACACGGTATTCACATGTGTATGTGTGTGTGAATTTATTTTAATATATCTACACATGCATGCTTTTTTGTGTATCTATATATACACATGCATGCATATCTATTCATATATATATATATATATATTCAAAGCCCATAGAGCAGGCAGGTGACTCTTGCCATCAGCAATGCCCGGATTGTGGCGACGTCATCCTCCCGAACCGCCCAAAGCAGCGCAGCAGGATCGGCCATGGCAACCGAAAGCAAGGATCGGTTACTCGCCACGGAGGTCTTTGGTGCCCTTCCGTTGTTCTAGGGGGAGAGGGGAGGGAGGAGGGTGGGGATATGATGGACACTCCGCAAAATAGACTGTACTTGTTCCTGGCATGGGGCTTGCTTTGAGTCAACTGCCCCCAAAAACGGTGGTCTCTCCCTTTGCACAGCAACGTCTCAACCAGTTGAATAACTTTGGGAGGGCCTTGCAGGCCCGAAATTTGGCCTCACCCGCTCTGAATTTGGGACACGTTCCCTCAAAGTGGACAGGAGGCTTCCCCAAAGTAGTCTTTCTAAACCTTCGTCTCAGCTTCCTGATTGGAGAAAAACTACCCTCGGATTTGCTTTGATCTGACCCTCATTGATTCCAGCCGGCTCTTCAAAACGCTCTGGGAAGTTCTGCCTTTGGCAAATTTGGGCGATTCCAAAGATAGACTTCACAGCACAGTATCTGGCTGAAACATGAATCAAAGTAATTCACCCACCGCACAATGACGAACATAAGGGCTCTCCGTCAGGGTCGGTTTGCCCCCTTCGTGAGGTCGCCACACATTTGCCCAAAGGATTTCCGACTTGCGCCGTACATGCAAGCCCGGCTAGACCGCTGATTCTGTGGCTCACCGCAAATGTTTACATGATAACGGACAAACGCATCCTCCACCCTGAGTATGAAACATCGTTTCTTCCTGGTACATGATATTCTCCCCTTTTTTCCATCTGTTCCTTCTTGTCGGGGACGCTCAACATGGCTGGGTTTCTTTTTGGTTTCCCTATCAAGTCAAAGGGAAGGGGGGGGGGTTCCCGGGTTTCCCGAAAAGGAACCACAAATATCTCCTACCAATGGACAGGGGCCGCAGCACACCCCCTCGCCTGACTGCTGGAGGTGCTGTCTACAGGCCTCAAAACTCGATTGCCCCCGCACTTTTCCTTCGCTTCCTGAGGGGACTGGCCAACGTCCTCAAACTTTTGGCTCGCCTCTGAAACGGCCTTCCCAAAAAGTTGTTAAAGGTCATGAACACAGGGAGTGAGTCTTGCATAACCTACATACCTCCAGCTATTGCGACTGCCTGTTGTGTTGAAAAGGGTGTTTGTTTTCGGGGGTGCCCTTTTGGGGGGCAAAAAGGAACATAGGACACAGGAAGGACAGAAACAACATTTTGGGGGTCCCACAATTTCGACGCATACCGCTATTGTCACGGAATGGTCAACCTCCTATTGGTGGGAAAGCTGTTTGGAGGGGAACTGAACACTCTGACCATCAGCTATGTATGTCTGTGTCGCATCCTTAGAAGCCACGAACTGTTCGAAGCTCCGGGTAAATGGAGAGCTGCCTCAAATCAGCTGCGCTCACAGTTGGGGATACTGTCAATGAGGGCTGGGTGACCCGAGCAATCTGGCAAGGCGATTAGTTTAGTGTCCTGAGAATGATGGCTTGCTTGGTGAGAAGCACCACGTTTACCTCAACATTGCAATGCGCTTATTTTCACAAACCCTCAACAAACGAAAACGAGTCAAGCTTTTACATGGCCTCCTGAAGCTAGGACAATGTCATTGGGTACATGTCCATCTCGTTCAAAATGATATCCAGCTGCTGTGAATCATTGAATCTCCTGCGAGTTACGCTTCGCAACAGTTTAGGTTGCCAGCTACTTTTGGGGGAATGGACAGGACAAACAACAATTTATTCCTGACGGCAGTTCACAATAGCCATCTTCTTATAAGCTGATTACGGTCAACGCTCCTGCCGCGAGACTTGGGTTGTGGACATTGAAAAACACAGCTGTTGGAGGGTGCCGGACTGGTAGTTCATTCAGGATGCTAAAACAAAGGACCGGCGGTGCGAATCCCCCAGCCCCTTGCCAGGATATGCAAAGAGCTCATTTTGGGTGCCCCCGAACGCTACCTCGCTGACATTCAAACAAAGTACACATTTTCTCGGCCAACATCAAGGGAGAAAAAACAGCATTGGTCCAACCACCCAGACCTTGACAAAAATTGAAGAAATGGTCACCCACAATCACCCACATCTCCCTGAGGTCAATAAACATGTCCATGCCACGAGTGCAGTAGCTTCTACAACATCCACCGCCGGAACCGCTTGGGCGTCCGAGCGCGTGCTGCAGGATGATCCGTGCGAGTTGCACTGCCGTGGGAGCCGCCGTGTTGGAAAGGCCTGACGCAGCAGTCAGGCGGCGACCATTTGATTTGCATTGGCCAACACAAGCTCATGGCTTATTCGGCTCAACAGCTCACTTATTTAGCAAAAAACACCGGTCTCCTCGGCACATAACTGTGGCTGGTACCTTGCCATTCCAAATTCTCGTCAAGGGTCCCCGAGAATACATGTCCCAAAAGGCAAGCCGACTCTAAGCAACGACGCATTGACACTCAAGAGCAGACTAGGAGCAAGTTCTCACTCAAGCAACCCACACTCAAACATGTCTTGAACTTCGTGTCCGAATGTCCATTCACACTTGGCCCGTTTCTTCGCCTTTTGGAAAGCAGGGGTCCGGAAAGTAAACGACACAAGAAGACACTCATCTCTTCCCTTCTGGCTTACCAAGCAAGAGCTGCACTCCTCTTCTGGCTTCCAGGAAGGCTAAGTCAGCAATCGGCAACAAGTTCGGAGGGGCCACTTGGGTTCTCCAAGTTCCTTGACCCTCCAAACAGTGGGTTTCCTTTTAGCTCCCCTTCAATCCCTTCAACGGCACCCTCCAAAAACACATGCCCATTCACTTGGCCGGACCGTGCTCTTCATGTCAAAAAACAAACGTTTAATATAGTTGTTTATGCATATAGTACTCGTTATTGTTCTCATTCTTCGCATTACTAATAAAACACACCAAACAGCACATGAACATAGTGGAAGACGGGGCGATTCCCCCAGCAAGGATCCGATTCTGGGCCGAGCGCGCAGCAGACTGCACAAGTTGGAGGCCAGGACCTGCTGAAGGATGACGGAGGGCGTGCGACCTGAGAGATGGATGGGCCGCAAAAGGGGAGCCCGCTGTTTCGGCAAGGGGTGGGAGGCAAAAGTGGGGGTTGGAGAGGGAGGGGTGGAGGTAAGAGTGGGTTGGAGAGGTGGGAGGTAGGGGTGGAGGTGGAGGGGGTGGAGGGGGTGGAGGGGGTGGAGGGGGAGGGGGTGGAGGGGGTGGAGGGGGTGGAGGGGGTGGAGGGGGTGGAGGGGGTGGAGGGGGTGGAGGGGGTGGAGGGGGTGGAGGGGGTGGAGGGGGTGGAGGGGGTGGAGGGGGTGGAGGGGGTGGAGGGGGTGGGAAACCAAGTACCAGAAAAAATATGTCCCCAAATTTATGAGAAACAACCAGATAGTTTAGGCTTCAATTGGTGTGTGGTAGTTTACTGTTCTGGGTGCTCGACCCATAATTATTGAAAACACATTTTGACCTAATGAGCACCCAGTTGTTGTTAGAGGCAGTTAGCCATGGAACCCAAACCATCTTTTGTAGAGGGATCCCAGGGGGGGGACCCTTTCTTGGGTTCCACGTCAATTTGGAGAGCGTGCGCATCGAACGGAATGTCCTGCCTCAGAAAGCTCCAATGGACGAACACACGAAACCAATCATCAGCATCAGGTTCGCATTCCGCTTACCCGCTTGTGATGCTGAATTGCCCTTGGAAGAGACTGGGATATGTTCCCCTCACTACATGTCACTAACCCTCAAAAAGGAGTCCAGGACAAACTTTCATCGGCTCATTCTCACCACAACTACGTAATTCATGCAGAGGGAGTTCCTGGAACCCTTAGTTGTTACACCATAGAACACTCAGTTTTACGCTTTTTTGAACATGCCCCCTCCAAAAAAAAATGCGGGTGCTGTCCCTTTTTTTCCATACCAAGGCCCCACCCCACTTCGACCCCTCGGCGTCCGCCACTCACGGCTCGCGCAAAGAGCGGGGCTGAGCGACAGCAGCTGCGCAAAGAGCTCCGAGTCCTTGATGTGCTCCACCGACCAAACCTGACTCAGTTGCTTTCTGCTCTAGTGACTCACCTGTAGGTGGTTTAATACGGAAAACCCATTCGTTGGCAAAAAGGGAAAGTCCGAACTCACCCAAGCAAAATGCAACAAAGCTGAGACGTTTCTTCCATTGGGTTAAGACCCCTGGGAAAAAAATGAGAACATCTTGCCAGCAGTGAAATCGATTCATTTAAAACCAACAGGGGAAAATAACAAATATTCATGTCAGCAAATGGAAGTTTTGCTAGGTCCTCCAGACTTGACAGGTTCGAATAAGTTGGTACCAACTTTTCTTTTTTCTGTGTAGTCTATTTTAGTAGGGGAACCCGAACCACAAAAAGGGTGAGAAAGGGCACTGCTGGGGGACCTAGTTTCGGAACCCCAACTTTTTCTCGGTTTCTGCAACGACTTCTCTGCAAAGAGGTCCAATTCACAAGTCCAGTTTGGTGGGTCCAACAGTTTTGTGGGTCCACCAGTATTTGGGTCCCAACTTTTCTGCTTGGTTGCTGCAACGACCCCCTGCATTTTTTTTAAAACTTTTCGGGGGTTTAGTGAGGACATACCCGAAGTTGATTTCCCGAAAAGTTAAAGTCTAAAGATCCAACTCAATAGCAGTCAAGTCTCGGTTTCTGCAACGCCCCCTCTGCAAGAAGAGCTTCAACTTTTGGTGGGTCGTTGCAGAGGGCTTGTTGGGTCGTGGATTTTTCCGATTCTCATTAAGGTCGTTTCTGGTCCAATGGAAAATCCACATCCCAAGTTTAAGCCCAAAGATCCAACCAAGCAGCCAAAAAGAAGTGGGTATGATTCTGAACTAGGGACAACTTGGCGGACTTCGCTTAGGGGATTCACGTCCACCAACCGCTTTGGAGGTCTTCCCCCCTTGAAATTCATTTGGGTTGCGCAATCGGATCCGAAACACGGGAGGAAAGGACAAAACTGGACCAAAATCCTATGCCAGGAGTTGGGACGGATGAAACCCTACAAATACCAACTGGAGCCCCTCTACCTACTGGTGCGAAGTGGAGTTCGTCCAGTCCCAAACTCCAGCAAGTCCCGCGAACAGCAAAATTGAGGAAGCTTTTGTTGGGGGGTTGAGGCCCTCAGGCGAACCACACAGCGTCACGTTTCCATGAGGGTGGCAATCGCTGCGTTCCAATACCCATTTCGACCATGGCTCCAGCCGAAACCACATGCACCCTAGGGGCAGCTGGTTCAAACCAACCTGTCTGCACGCAACCGCTCACTCAGTTGACATCAACTCATTCCACGCCTGCCCTCATCTACTTCTTCAACCAAGTAATCTTCATGACAACAAGAGGTCCAGGTCCCGAAACAATGGCGGTAGTTCTCATAAGGAAGGCGCTGTCCCTGGATTCAAAGTGTTTGAATGGGAGGGTAGCTGGCTTGACCGAAATCAATATGAATTTAGCGGCAATGCAAGGTTCCAACATCCTGTGTCACGCATCAGCTCACACACGCTTGCAAAAGGATCGTCATGATTCTCCCGAGCGACCCTTGTGTCAAGAGATCCGGTGGGCAAGTGTCAACATTTCCTGTTGGTTTTCGTTTCAAACAAGGAAACAGATTCCGAGAATTGGACAACACACACGCGGTGTCAACGACAGCATGAGCTGCGGGCTTTGCGGTGGACATCTGCCCAATCCACAGAATGTCCACGTCTGACCTCAGAATGACTCCGTCGCAAAGGGGGTTCCCAGAAGATTCCGCAATAATGATGGGGGTCCATGTTGATGTATGTTTTCCAAGGCTCAAAGCGCCTTGATCTGGCCCTGCTCTGGCCCTCATGTTGACCAGCCCGCCCCTGGCAATACATCCAGTGCTCCCAGCCAGCTGCCACATGACTTCCCCACTCAGTGGCTCTTGCTGCATTCTGGTTTTAAGCTGTGAAAAGCACATGGAAACGAGTCATCTGGACATGTGCCAGAATCTGGCCCCACCTCGTTTTGGGAAACCTTGAACAAACACTCGACTCTACTAGGTCCTCCAGTAGAGAGGTAGGGTGCCCCAGTTTTCTGTGGTCTATTTTAGTAGGGGAACCCTCCCTCCAAAACAAAGGGCAAAAGGGCACTACTGGGGGACCTAGATGCGGTGGTCTAGCACTTCATGCCCGCGTTTCCGACCCTTGAGCACTCCCAATCCCATGCTGTTCCAAACTAACGCACATGCCAACACATTCGAATATTCTCTTGCACACAGACACATTCTTTGGGCCCACCCACCTTAATTAGTCAGTCTAAAGACTTCCATTTGCTTCTTCGCCCCATGGAAAACATGAGACACTATTTCCAGTGATACATTCCCGTTAAAACTCCAACAAGGGAAAATAATGAAAACAATATTCATTTCAGCAAATGGAGGGAGTCTGGCAAAAGTTTGAGTCCTGAAAACCCTGGAGCTCAGTTACCACCATTAAAACATTGTTTATTTTGGAGCAAAACAAAACAAGCAAAGTTCAGACTACACATTGCGCTTGCAGCTGTTTTGTCAGGTTTTTTTGCCTTTTTGGGGAATCTTGACTAAGTTTTTTAAAGCCTTAGTCTTCTTAAGAATTGTCCTTCTCCAAATTGCTATGGAGCCGTAGGCCGTTTGTCCGCGCCATTGCTGACCAAGCAGCCGCATCCACCAAGTCCCGGAGGGAGGTGGGATCGCCGGCCCAGGAGAAGGTCGGGCCTGAGCGCGGGACAAGTTCCTCAGCTTCTTTGCCCCCAACCAAACAACACCCCAAACAGAGCAACAACATATTCTGGGTGTGTCATTTTTGGGGAAATGCCTTTTGGCTGACTTTAAAAGGAAACCAATGGTGTGTGTGTGTGTGTGTGTCTTTGTTTGGGCACCCCCTGTTGGTTGATTTTAAAAGGACACCAAAAGGATACAAACCATTTTAGGGGACATATCCATTTGAGACAAGCCCACTGAAATTCTGGGGCATGTTTCGTCTGCTCACAGGCTATTCTGATTTTGGCCATATCTAGTCAAGCGTCAAAATGTAACATTTGTTCATAAGAGACCCCAGAAAGGATTGAACCAATCCAAATTGTATGCAGCTCAGACTAGGAAAACACACACCCCGATGTGGCAGAAAGTGGACTCTGCCACCCCGTGCTTTTGACGCATCTAAATTTCCCCTTGAACACTGCCCCTGGAGACGCACCCCAAGAGCAAACTCAGGTCAACCCGCGTATTGTGTTGGATTGAACTTGTATGCGCACATGTATGCGTGTTGTCAGCATTTGTGGAATGTTGATCAGCATGGAGTAGGGATATCATTGGACAATTGGATCTGTAGGTGCTGTGCAATTGTGGAATGGGTACAACAAGTGAGGCTGCCTGGTCATGACAACTGCTGGGTGCATGAACGTTTTTTGTTCGTTTTGACTTTCTAAAGTGCTGATTGGGACAGGCTGCATGACTTGCACACGTTTTGGACGCGACGAGCGCGCTAGCGGCAAGTCCAACTAAACAAGGCCGCGGCCTTTGTGCGAATCCAATGGTCACTGGACCACTTTGAAGCTCAGGAAGGGAAGCTCCCAGACTCCAAGAGGAACATTGGCCCAGTCGAGCCATCGAGCTTCCTTAGACGCTGGCCACTGTTGCTCGGAGACCCCAATGCCTCCTCGGACAGCTCGAAGGGGAAGTTCACCTCATACCGAAAGAGTCTGCTCGCTGTTTGATGTGCCCTGAGATTCCATCTTATCACAGCAGGTAAGGAACTCTCCCTTGCTAATGTTTATTCCCTTGGCCGTTGATCGGAATGTGCTCGAAGGCTTTGCAGGGATTAGGGGAAGAGGTTGAGTCCGCGGCCAATTGGCAAGGATAAGACAAATACGAATGGCTGGTTTCCAGTTTAGTTGCCTCGGCGAAAGCCGAAAGCAAGGGTTTTCATGTTGAGGTCCTTTGAGTGCTGGGTGGCGTACCAGGCTTGGAATATGCAACGAATCTTGCCGCAGCCGTGCCTGAAAATGGCTTGCAGAGTTCGCTGGTTGAGCCCAGGGGCTCTGGGGCCCGTAGATCATGTGGAATATCTGGAAGGGTCCCTAATGCAGGGCTCACGGAGTTCAACTTCCGTGGCAAAGTGGTAGACTCCAACCTGCCACCTTTGGAGGTCCCAAAAAGGGAGATTGAGGGACCCCTGCAGTACCTAGCCGTCCTTCAGTCAAAGCTGTGCCTGTCACCTGACTACAACCCTTTGTACAGGCTTCCAACACCCATCCCCCTCCTAGAAAGAATTAACCGCACTCTTTCGTCAGGCCCTTTGCCGCTTTGCCTCGCTCCTGCTAAACTATGGGTAAACGGCAGACAGGCATCAAACAAAGCGCTGGACGTACAATATGGATGTTCTCGCTTGGACTTTGGGTCTATGACGAAGATGTCCAGTAAGGCAACAAAACATATCCGTCCCCAACAACAACATCCAAAACAACATATGGCTGTGGGTCAAAAATATGTACCGAAAATGGAACCCTGGTAAATGGAACTAAGCACTAAAGCCTGCGGTTCCCTGGTGGCTTAATTTTGACCCACACCCATATCTGTCCCTTGCACTCTTGCTTTGAAGCCACGCCTGGTCCACAAAGAGATGCCGCTTCGACCAAACGCTGCTCAGACCTGCGACACGGAGCCATCAACGGGTGAGGTGTGCAGGCCAAGAATTCGAACGGCCGCAAGCAGCTGGATGCCAAATGGACATGTTGTAGCACTGACTTGTTCACTTTTCAAAATCCTGACTTGCATACAGAAAGGGTCACACTGGAACTGGAAGATGTCGTGGACATCATGCGTTCCCCTCGTTTGTAATTGGTCTACCAGTGGGACTCATGGTATTTTATGCCAAAACCTTTGCAATGGAAGGCCAAAACCTGCCAAACCTGGCGTGGACGCTTTGCTCCTTGGCTCCCCGTTTGCTTCCTGTTACCAAGACTTCGCTCCTGGGCTCCCCAGTTCTTTGCGTGTCAGCATGCTTCCTCTGAAAACCCGACATCAACCCAGATTCACTTCACACATGCCAACGATGGGGTGGAAATGCCGCTGTTGTTTTTTTTGGTGCCTCTTCTCTCGGAACAACCCCATGATTGCACACGCGCCCTTGTCTTGCAAATGTGTATCCCCCTCTTTCTCTCTACGCATATATATATATATATAGTTCTGGAACCCGCACGCCTAGTGCACGGTTATTTATGTAACACGGTTGTGTATGTAACGTAACGAACCGCAACGATATGCAACGCAGTATAGTGTAGTGTAGTGTAACGGAATGTACTCTCTGTATGAATGTAAATATGTATAACATCGCTCTCCCTCTTAATAGACGCACCAAATGAATAAATACTATCTGGCTATCTTCTCAGACACCTCCTTTCTCGCTTTTAAGCCGATACACAAACCAATCCTAGACCAGCAAATTTGGCCGCCGGCCCCAACTCCGCTCATACTAGGCTTTAAAAAGCCAATACTAACTCAATTCGAAACCGACACCAAACCACTTTAACATCAATTTGAAGCCAAGACACATCGATGAATACATGTTGTTCCGCCCCCATTGCAGTAACATTATTGAGGGGGAGCCGTATGTGTGGATACTCATTTTGGCTGTGGCTCAAAAAACCTATACCAAAATGGGTTGCCCTGGTAAGTGGACACATGGACCAAACCTGCGGTTTGGTCACCCCTCCGATCGTTTCATTTTGATTGCCACATCCCAATCCCCACTAAAGGCAGCCTAAAATGGGTGGTGAATTCACCTACCAGCCAAAATGGGATCCCAAAACGGTGCTGAGCCGCCATTTCCATTTCTCTCACGTAGATCTTGGAACCCGAAGCCTGAGAGGTCCCACTTCTTGGCGTTCATCACGTAGCAGGCCCACGCCAAAAGCCGGACCTCAGGCGAGGTCCACGCCAAAGAAGGCTCCAGATCTTCGCTTTTCTTGTTTCCTTTTTATGTTCTTCTCTCTCTAAGTTTTGTATTTTTTGAACCAGACTCGTTTCGTTCATTCTGAGCGACTGGAAAGGTTGTCCAAAGATGGTTGGAGTGCACCTTTAAACACGAGGGCCCAACCCTCTGGGGCGGCACTCAGGGGAAGAGGCCCCTCCCGAGTTCAATGGACCCAGTGGCGTGGCCGGTTCAATGAAAATAATGGAACGTCGTCCGTTGAGAACCAGTCGCGCTCCCGATATTTCCGCCTACATCACCCAGATCTTGAACATCACCTGAAAGCAACCCTAACCGAACATGGCCCACAAGGGGCCATTTAAGACCACCCAAAAGGGGAGAAACAAATTTAGGGACCCCTCGAATTCGCCCCCCAGGCCATTTCTTGATCACAGCTTCGCCGGACGCAGCGCTGAGTCCCGCGCCGCAGGCGGAGCCTCATGGGCCCTGGGCGTCAGCGAGAGGAACTCCACAAAGCTGCAGAGCTCGTCGCTGAGGTCCTGCCTCGCGCGGATTTTGCGCGGAGACTGTGGGCTCGCGGGGCCAGGACCAGCAGGTTTGATGGTATTTATAAGTGGGCGGGGGAACCGCTGGGACCAACAGGTTTGATGGTATTTATGGTATTTACAAGCCGAAGGGGGGGGGTGGGGAAACCGGGAAACCGCTGGGACGAGCAAGTTTGATGGCATTTGCAACTGGAAAGAACCACAAATTCGCGTTCAGGGTAAAACAACACACATTTTCCGCTTGGGGTAGTGGCTTGTGGCCGGCGGACGCCATCTTAGAGCCAGTCAGTCCTCTACCTAGATACTATTCTTCCTTTGGGGGGTTCCGTGTCCATGGTTTTAAAGGACAGAAGTCTCTTCAGGTGTCACCGATTTTGAGCTACACGAATATAAGTAGATTGATACCATCAAGTTCTACAGTGGAATCGGTTTCAACATGTCGCCCTCCTCGCGCTATGGAATTTGAGAAACAACTAATGCTCAGATAAACTTCACAGGGTTTTCATGCCCCCTTGCATCACGAGATACACGCAGGATCACTCCAACGACTGTTCGATTCCCCGGTCGACGGGAACCGATGGATTGACATCCGTTGAAGGTCCTTTTGGCAACGTCCTCAAGCCAAGAATACCGCAAAGGCCGAGACTGGCATAGCCGCTCGCCACAAGCAAGACAACACGACGATTCGGCCGGAGTACCACTACAACAACTCTATAATATATATATACATAGTAAAAAATGCGACCCCCAAGACCTTATCGATGTAAAGAAGATTAATCCTAAAAAAATATTTGAAATGAACATCACACATATAACATTATCGAAACATGTTCAGCTAGAAGTTCGGCTAGAAGTGATGAAGTGCCATGGCCACATCGTTGGCATCGCAGGACAATTGCAATGGCTTCCACATCCTCGAGTCCTGGTTGTGAGAAACTGGTGTAACAGGTCAACAACAGTCCCGTGCAAACACTTAACCATTCGCTGGACCTTGCTTCTGCACAAAGTCACAAATGATGATACTTACTGGCCTCATTATTTTACCATGATCAGAGTCGCCCCCCAAGTGACTTGAAGGGAAACAACCCCATTTACTGACTTTGACAACCCCCAAAAACCGTCCAAAAAACGACCCCAGACTTCGCGGCCGAGTGCCCTGGAAGAAACATGGGGAGTGCCTTCTTCGAGGCTTGACCCTTGAGTTTCGTGAGCGCACCCAAACGAAGGGGAAAGGTGAACTCCACCCGAATTTTCGCTGGCATTCCACGGGCACCTGGATGATCGCCGTTCTGAGGCGCCGGCAACGCGACGCGGAAGCAAAAGCTCACCAGGCTCTGGGTCGCTGCCTTGCGCCGCAGCCTGGGGCTGAGCCGATGAAACTCTCCGTGCAGACTTTCGGTTTACCACTGATGTCAAAGAGGGATGAATAAACCCCTCTATGAATATGAGGTGTAGTCGTTGGATTTAGTGCTGGTTCAGTACTATTGGAGGGAACACACCAGTATTAATAAGGGGTTTATCAATCCGGGGTCAACATTCCCCTGACTGGCATCATAATTTATCACTGAAGTCACTCCCTAAGAGGGAGGTTAGAGGGCCACCGCGCCAGTTTCTGAGTTTGACCACCAAAAACAGTCAGAAGACAGCTGAACGGCAAAGGATATCTTGTTCGAGGCGGCCTTGTAGAGTACCTACCCAATATGGAACACGAACTTGCACAAGCAGAGTCTTGTAGGAGTCTGTGGATAGACTTTGATGCTTCGGGTAAATGAGGAATCAACACAAAGCTGAGACAGACTACCATGTCCTTACAAACCGGTTCTCCCTGTTTAGAAGCCAATTCGGATACCCACAGCTCCTTGGCTCCCTTCCAACTAGCAGAACACGTCGAAGGGCGTCGAGAACATCCTCAGTCCCTTCAGTAGCGAAGCCTCAAAGCCACACATTCGAACAATTCGTCCCGAATCGGGCAGGGAACGTGTGGGTGTCTTCTTTTTGGGGCACACCCCCAAAATGGTGGTTGTCCTTTCGGTTTCTGTTAAAAACCGCCAACAAATGGGTAGCCCCAAAAACGGCACAGCCATGTGCCATGAGTCAACATTGTGCTGGGCTAGTGCTGGCGGTGCTCTGCCATTGAAGCCTCCATTAGGTTGAGGTTTTAATTACATGCCAAGTCCTTCCCTGAGAACAAGAAACACATTACACTCGCATGTTCATCACCTCCGCATGCTGCATCCACATCTCCCGGCCATCCAAATCATTGCATGCAGATTTCTCCAACAAAGATCACCATGTGCCATGGGAAAGCTCTGATTCTGTGGCTCTAAATTCTTTGCTATATCCCTTTCCCGACTAATGAGCAGGCTGTATTCACACATATCATTTCTCCTGAAGCCTTGTCCAGGGTCCCTCTTTTTGAGGAGGGCTTGCCAGAACTGTGCAATTTTTAATGGCGAGTTGCTGATAGGTAACACTCGCACATTCGACCTTGTAGGCGCATTGCAATGTCCACCGTGCATGCCAATCGTCAATTGCCAAACCAAGTTGAAGCTGCTAAACAAAGTTTCAGCTGATCACTCCTCAGTGTCATCTAAGCTCAATACTTAGAACTCACAATGTCTCCTGGTCAATGTTCAGGGCCCCTGCCCGAAATCCTCAAAGTGACATGTGTGCGTGTCTCTGTGTGTGTGTGTGTTCCCCCTGGAATAAGGAATGGTCTTCATGTTTGAGAAGGAGGTAACGGCCTTCACTGCATGACGTGCATACCAAACAGTCTGATGGTTCTGGCTTCAAGGCGATCACGCAGCGAACAACTAGAGGGCGCTGGTATCCTCTTCAACACCAAACTGACACAAGTAAAATACATCGTTTTCGACTAAAACATGTTCAGCGTCCAACAACAGTACAAGTGCATAGGGCCCCCTTTGTGGGAAAACACACATCCCTTCCAAGAAGTTCTTGTCCCTTGCCCTGCTCGGGCAAGGACATCAAAGAGAAGCTCGAAGGCCTTTGTAGGGGCTACCATCTCTCGAGGGCTTAGGGTCCACCAGAACCAAAATGGGATTTGGAGGGTGCCACTGAACCAAAAGGGGTGTTTTCAAGCAAGCTAAGTTCATCTATGAGAGGGATGTTGATTTCTTAAAAGTGCGCGCAAATGAATCTGATTCTGATAGCTTCGTCTCAACATATCTCTGGACCTCCCCCCCAAAAAAAGTGGTCGTGCGCTTGGCTGGTTGCTTGCCTGGTTCGCTTGGCTGGATGGAGGAAAACATCCTAGGTCCTCCAGTGGAGAGGTTAGAATAAGTTGATACCAACCTTTTCCTGTAGTCTATTTAGGGGAACCCTCCCAACCAAAAAAGTTGGTGAGAAAGGGCACCTAGCTGGGGGACCTGGCCTCCGAAGGCCGCGAGACTCTGCGACTCTGAGCTCCGGTCCCTTGATGTTGCAGGTAGGCGTCCACGAAGTCGCTGGCGCTGGTACGGCTCACGGTAGGCACTCGGTGCAGCAAGAGCCTCAGCGCGGCCTTCAGTTCGTGTTCGGGTTCATTGGGCCGGGTGCCAACCATCCTTTGGTGTTGAAAGGCGAACCAAAAAACAAAGCGTCGCCAAACAAAGGCGTTTCGTGCGCGGTTCGTTGCATTGGGCGCGGCTCCAAATCTTGGTTGACGTTGGAAGGGGAGCAAAAATTTCATTTTTAGCAGTTAAGTGGGGATTTCCCACTAAACCACAAAGAGCAGAAATGTAAAATGTTTCCCAACAAAAACCATGAATTGGGGTGCCCAGCACCATCCGGGTACCAACCCTTTTGTTGGGTGTTCAAAGGGAAACCAACAAAACAAGCGCAGTTTGGGAGTCCCACGATTTTGCCCGACACCCAAAGAATCCAACATTTCCTTGGATTTTCCGTGAACGCAACTCCAACAAGTGCGACATCAACAGAACATTGCCGCAGCCTTCGTCAACCTGTTCGGGTGTTTCTGTTGGTTTGTGGGAAAGGGGACCAATTGGGACAAAAAGGGCAAGAGCGGCAAAAACCAAGCCTGTGTGCCTGAGAAATTGCGGGTGCGCCATCTGGGACGCCCTTGAAACAGAGTGGGTCAGCGAACTCTTGAAGCATGTGGCGTTCAATATGGGGTCTGGACAACACAAACAATGATGCATTCCCTTTTGCATCCCCTTCTGATTTCCTCATGGGAAACTCGGCCTCATGGGTTACTTGACACGCAGAACAGAAACCCCCTGTTGAAACCTCAACTCCAGGTGTTTCCAGCAGAAGGTGACAAACGCCTGGTGGTTCATCACTGGTCGGGAAGCCGAAAAAGAAAAGGCACTGGACTGTGAACCCCACCAGAATGTGTCTTATCTTTTTCGATCAAATCCCTTTTGGGGTGAGTTCAAAGGGAAACCAAAAGTTGAACACCGAAATCCATTTGTGGGGGGTCCAACCTAAAAAGAACAGACGATCCACCAGGAAAACCTAAAAGAACAAACTTTTTTTGGGGGGGTCCAACCCAAAAAGAGACGCGCCACCCACTCGCGTCGATCTCGATCCGAGGCTCTCGATGAGACTGGCCCGCGGCTCCAGCTTCTGCAGGATGGCCTTGAGAAAGCGCTAAAAGGTCGAGGGCGGTAAAAGAAAAGCAACCAAAGAATTTGTTTGCCACTAAAACTAGGTCCTCCAGTAGAGAGGTTAGAATACGGGTACCAACTTTTGCCTGTAGTCTATTTTAGTAGGGAGACACTCCCCCAAAAAAGGGTAAAAGGGCACTATTGGGGGACCTAGAAAATGTTCCAAACCCAAAAAGTGACAAAAGTCAAGGAACTCAGGAAGTGAGTTGTCTAAAGGGAACCCAAAATGGCAACGGTTTCCTTGGAGACAGCGCGGCAACGATGGAAACGGCAGGTGGTTAACAGCACAATGCTGTTTTTTTTTGGTGGTTTTCCAGTAAGCAAGGTGTCACAAAGGGTACCCCTCGAAACCTGAAACACGAATTGGATCCCCAAGTAAAGAATTCTTTGCCAGTCGTTTTACCCCCGGGTGAGCTCGCCGTAGATTATGCAAAGGGCAACGGTTGCAACTTGTGGTTTACCCTTTAAACAAGCCCAACAAAGGTAGCCTCAAACAAAACAAGCAGCAACCAGATGGCTTCCGCTACCCCCCGAATTGAAGCCACCCAAAGGGGTTTCATGGGACACACAGCCACTCTACTGCACCCCCGAAATAAAAATAATAATAGTAAATAATAAATAATAAAAGAACATAATAAAAGACAATAATAATACTAATAATAATAATAAAATTAATAAAAACAATAAAAAATAATAATACTAATACTAATACTGATACTGATACTGATACTAATACTAATACTACTAATAATAATACATAATAATACATAATAATACATAATAATAAATAATAAACACTAATAATAATACTAATAATAATACTAATAATACTAATAATAATAAATAATAATAATAATAATAATAACAATGACAATAATAATAATGATAATAATAATAATAATAATAAATAAATAATAACAATGACAATAATAATAATAGTAATAATAGTAATAATAATAATAATAAACAGTAATAATACTAATAATAATAATGATAACAATAAAAATAGTAAATAATAAATAAATAAATAATAATAATAATAATAATAATAATAATAATAATAATAATAATAATAATAATAATAATAATAATAATAATAATAATAATACCACTCATAATCATCATCATGCTCATATTAATAATATTAATAATATTATAATAATAATAATAATGATACACAATAATAGTATTAATAATATTAATAATAAGCATCATAATAATACGACTATTAATAATATTAATAATGATAATACTAATAATAACAATCACACTATATAATCCGAATAATAACATTAATAATATTAATGATAATAATCATAAATAATAATAATAATCATAGTACTAACAAAAAATCATAATAATCATAATACTAATACTAATACTAATACTAATACTCATACTACTAATAATAATAATAACAATAATAATAATAATAAATCACAAAAACACAACACCATCATGATTGTGAACATGAATACGCGCCTCACTCCAATTGCCACGAAACCAGGAATTCGACCCCGGCCACCATGGAGTAGGTCATGTCAAACCAAAACGGGCTTCTGGAGGCAGTTCTGAAAAGGAACTCAATGAACTCAAGCAATTGCGAGGGCATTTGGTTTGACCCGCGCCACCATGTACTATGCCTTCTTCCTTCACATAGGAGTACGTAATGCTGAGTGAATGGGCATCCTCGCCATGGCCACGACAGATTTGCAATTGCCCCCCCCCGGTCCAGGATGCCTTCTCTAATATTGGTCATCCATCGACTTGTCGCGGAAGGGATCTCACAACGGCTCACTTGCACAGTGCGGAGCCGTGTTCCCATGAAAGTCTGATAGTGATTCATCCAACTGGACAAGAGACCGCTCAAACAGGGTTCTTTGTCCTTGGACAGATCTTTTCACCTCAAGCTGAATAGAACGACATTCTAATCAAACCCCAACTACGCCATCTAGGAGAGTTGACAGTGATCCTATGATCACAAAACCTTCATGGGGCGATGATGGACAGTGACTAATTCCCAATGAAATTTGAGCTCGCGCATGCATCAAACCTAGTTGACGCCCCTCGACTCGGATCGTGAGCATGATTGCCAAACTTGCTCGTCCCGGGCTTGCCTCCAGTGTGTCGCAGAGCCGCAAACTCACTGCCTCCTGGCAAGGTACGTCTCAAACCTGGGAACCTCTGGGTGTTTTAAACAAGGGCTGTGCGTCCCGTTTTTAGGGGACCCCCAAAAGGGGGTATCCTCAAACAACGACACACCCAGGAGTTCATGACAAAATGACAAATTGCCCATGCCCCCTCTGGGTTTATTTTCTGGGGGAAAGTAGGACATGTCTATTTAACGCCCAGTCCCATTTGGGATTTTTTTGAAGCAGGGTCAGAGGGGAAATCTGATATTGAGGGCTGCCTAGAGCTCTTATCCAACGGAAATGCCCAGCCGTCACTGAGAGGCACCTTCACCAAGTCTGCGGCCCCTACTGTGGATGGACAAAAAATCATGCACCAGTTCATCCACCCCAACTGGTGCGGAATTTTGGCTTCGCCCACAAACCGAAGTCTCCTCAACCAACATGTCCGACCCCCGGCAATTCTCAAGGACCTGACTCGCTGTTCAAAGGAGACATGAAGTTTCTCATCTCAGCAAGTAACTCGCCCCGGCGACTTGCCTAGCAAGCCACGGACTGATTTCCGTTCACTTGGATGTTCTGCCAAGTTCGACTGTAGGTGAGGGGCCCAACACCACCCCCGAATTTCATAAACACCGCTTGAAGGCCAACTTGACGCAGGAAGGGACAACTCTTGGGCAACCTCATCTCTGTTCAGCATGTCAGGCAACCAACTGAAGGGCCTACTGTGGATGGACGAAATCCATTTCGCACCACCTAAGAAACCCTGGGTTGATGACTCCCTTGTGAATACCAAGCGAACCATGGTTTTTCTGTGGTTTCAAAGTGGTGCGAAATGGATTTCGTCCATCCACATGGCTGCCACCAATTTCTGCAACTCACTTCGCTTCAGATCTCCTCGCCGAAGAGCAGACGAGAGGCCACCAGCCAGTCGCACACCGCAGGTCTCCACTTCTCCGAGTTGCCCCGCGCGTCCATCACCTCGCAGAAGTTTCCGACACTCAAAACGCGCGACACATCCAATGGCCTGGTTTGGCGCCCTTGCACTGCGGATTTGGGACGGACCACCCATGTCCTCCCAAATTCATACATCAAGAATTCTGGATGGGGCGTAGAAACTCAGGTTAAGAAGGTATGCGTGCGCATTGATTATCCCAAACCACCCAACTGACCCAACTCAACAGTCAAAGTGAACCGCACAGGCGAGGTTCGGATGCTCAAACAAGTCGCCATCCTGACTGGATGTTCCTTGACAGGGCATCTGCACGGGTGCTGACTCTTATAACCCGTGAGCCGGGCCAATGTGTTCCTTTGCCACAGTTCAAAGCAGTCACGCAATGCCGAGGATGAATGTAGCGGCCGAGAACTCAAAGAGCTGCTCCCCCAAAGGTGAGCAACAATCAGTCAGCGTACCCAACCAATGGGTACAAATAAACACACACACACATTTGGAGATGGGTCGGGATTTAATGGAGGATAATATCTGAATTAAATCTCGACCCATCTCCACATGTGTGTTTATTAATCTGCTTTTTTGGAGACTTTCACAATGGGTGGGCCACAATTGGGGCTCCACGTGCTAACTGATGCTTCCAGTTGGTTAAGACCCCTGGGAAAAATAAACATATTTCCAGTAGTGATAGATTCCCTTTAAAACCAACAGGGGAAAATGGGAAAATATTCTTCAGCAAATGGAAGGATGTGTTCTCCGTTCGCCATAAACAAATGCCATGGTCAAAAGTCCTTGAGCTTCACGGACCGACCGTTTGGACGAGTGCCATCCCGTCGAAAAGGCCCCTTGTCCACTTCCCTGGCCCCTTGGATAGCAAAACCTGCACTCCTGCTTTTGTCTGAACACACTGCCAGGGTGATTGGACTCCGCGTAATTCAGACAAACAACCAAACAAGCCACAAGCAAGCAAGCAAGCAAGCAAGCAAGCAAGCAAGCAAGCAAGCAAGCAAGCAAGCAAGCAAGCAAGCAAGCAAGCAAGCAAGCAAGCAAGAAAGAAAGAAAGAAAGAAATAAAGAAATAAAGAAAGAAAGAAAGAAAGAAAGAAAGAAAGAAAGAAAGAAAGAAAGAAAGAAAGAAAGAAATAATGAAAGAAAACAAGAAATAACATAAATAATAAAATAAGACATAAATACATATATACATAAATAAATGAAGAAGTACAGAAGAAGAAATAAATAAATAAATAAATAAATAAATAAATAAATAAATAAATAAATAAATAAATAAATAAATAAAGGAATAAACCACTCAATATATATATATATAAATAGCTATATAAATAAAAAGAAAGAAAGACAACCCATAAATAAATAAATCAATAAATAAATAAATAAATAAAAATAAATGAAGAAGTGAAGAAGAAGAACTAAAGAAATAAATAAACAAATAAATAAATCAATATATGTATATATATATAAATAGCTATATAAAAAGACAACACATAAATAAATAAATAAATAAATAAATAAAACAAATAAATACATAAATACATTAATAAATAAATAAATAAATACATAAATAAAGAAATACAGACACAACATAAACATATAAGTACATAAACAAAGAAAGACAGACAAAATAAAGACATAAAGAAAGAACGAAAGAAAGAAAGAAAGAAAGAACGAAAGAAAGAAAGACGAACAGAAATAAATAAATAAAGACATAAATAAAGAAAGAACCAGAGCAAACAAACAAACAAACCAACAAACAACCAACCAACTAAACCACACCACACCAAACCACACCAAACCAACAACCACACAATCAAAGAAACAACGCAAACAAAACTGACCAACCAACCAACCAACCAACCAACAACCAACCAACAACCAACCAACCAACAAACAAACAAGCGAACACACAACACAAAGCAAACAACCAAACCACACCAAATCAAGCCAAAACAGACCAAACATGCCAAGCCAAGCCCACCAACTCAGCAAACAAACACACGAACACACATACACACACACACACACATATATATATATATATAAACACCCCACAAACAAGCAGGCAGGCAGGCAGGCAGGCAGGCAGGCAGGCAGGCAGACAGGCAGGCAGGCAGGCAGGCAGGCAGGCAGGCAGGCAAACAGGCAGGTAGACAGGCAGGCAGACAAACTAAACACCAACAGATAGACAGGACAGGACAGGACAGAGAGACAGAGAGACAGAAATACAAAGAGGCAAAGAGAAAGAGAGAGCGAGAGAGAGAGAGAGCGAGAGAGAGAAAGAGGGGCAGGAAGGCAGGCAGACAGACAGATAGACAGACAAGCAGGCAAACAGTCAAACAACCACACTCTTGCCCCTGGGCCACATCGACCGAGTGCAGGTCGTCGCCTGCTCAATCCGCTTCCGCGAGAGCCGTGTCTGAAGGTGGGCCACTCTCACCTGGACGGCTGCAGTGGGCTTCTGGTCAAAGTGAACACATGGAACTCACCTAAGGGTCCGTTCTAGAAAATGGTGGCAACCAGGACCTCCCAGTCCACTTACATGTTCAGCGCTGGATCAATGCATCGCGGCAATCAAGCTCCGATTGAAGGGAAGGCGAAGTCATTGTCTTGCGGGTGCTCAGTGCTCAAAGTCGTCCTGGTCCTTGTCTGATTGGCCTTCCGAAACACACACCTTCCTACCCCGAGTTGAGCAGTTCCGACCCTGGAGATCCATCGCGTCCCTACTCCAAGCTTCCGACATGCTCAATTGCTTGGCTCAGTTGCCCCTATGGGACCTGGAACTAAAAGGTTCACCTTTTGGGGCCATGGCTAAATATGGACCAAAATGGGAAAACCAAAAGGTCAAAAGGTCGCCTTTGAACAACTGAGTTCTCAGTAGGCTTGCTGACCATTCTTGCGGGTCTAAGGGGACTCAAAATCCGAAAGCGTTCCATGTTAATGGTCTTGACGGAGCCCCGCGAAACAAATTCGAGAAGCTGGGAATCTTCATGATCATTCCATTGGGGGGGCCCCCCCCCCAAAGAAACAGAAAAAGAAAAAGAGAACATCAACAACAAATAAGACCCATGCAAGGATCAGCAAAACCTCCTAAGAACTTCCGTGCGAAGGAACCTCCCTGCCGATTTGGCCCAGCGCGGTTTTGCTGGTGCTGGTGCTCAGCAGGCAATGAGGGAGTGACCCCAGTTGCCCAACCCCGATTTGGTTTTCTTCCAGGGAATCCCCAGGTTCATTCCCAACACGGGTCCGTTCCCTAAGTTTAGAGTAGGTTTTTAGAGAGAGTCCCACTGTGGATGGACAAAATCCTGCACCACCCAAAAAACCATGGAATGATGATTCCGCTGTAAATATTATCAAACAATGGTTTCCCATTGTTTCAAAGTGGTGCAGCATTTCGTCCATCCACAGCATGGGGACTTTTGACTATCTTGAGGAATTGTCCATTCCAAAGAGAGTACAATCGAGATGTCCTGGGAGCAATCGAGATGTCCAAGAGAAACCAAAGGGAAATCTTGTTGAGGGCATCCTTTTGTTTGGGTTTGAATGAAGGGATACCAAAAAGAAACCACCATTTCTGGAAAGATTCCTACAAACCCCACGTTGGTTGCTTTCATTTGGTGCTCGGAAGTCTAGGCTCTGGTGCTCGGAAGAGGATTCCCTTAAAGGAAACCAAATCAGAACATAGGCTACAGGGGTCTTTCCATTTCTCATTCCCTTATCGCATCAGCAAGTAAAGCAATCCTCAAACTGATGTTTTCGCTCACGTGCCTGCGAGGCCGCCGGCCGCAGTTGCTCGAGCCGCTCTCTATCCTACAAGGCTCCCTTGGTTCCTTTGGGTGCCCTCCCGCTTTCTGCAGGGTGTGTCACAAGGTTCATCTTTTTACATCTGAGAGATGGTGGCATTCCTTTGGTTTCACCACCCCACAAAGGCTACCCTCAAGAAAACTTACAGAAACCCATATAAACCCAAGTCTTTTTAGAGCCCTTTTGAGGCTAAAGGGCAACTTAGCAAGTCGGCAGTGGCTAGGGGCGGGTGAAATGTGAGCCCATGCTCCAGCCAAAGATTCCGGTGCAGCTTCTGAAGCGAAAGCGCGATTTACTGACACCATGTGAATATCTCGCAAGCAACTCAACAAGTGAACAACCAGTACATATTCATATATATATATATGGGGGCTGGGCCAGATATATATATATATATATATATATACATATATATATATATGCATTTAACTAAATTATATACATCCATATATACATACACATCCCCAAAACACTCTGAGGGGGTCCGGGGGAGCGGCTTTTGTAAAGACAGGTGTCAAGAGCCGCAAACACAGCAGCGCTATTCCCCTTCCGAGAGAAACAAACAACATTGGTCAATTGTTTTACGAAAGTGAAATACTATCAGCAACGAAAAGCAAGCTGCAAGTGCTGCTCCCCCTGGACAAAGAAAGAGGCACCAATTTGAAGGAGTGACAGAGTCCCTTTAAACAACAACAGGGAAAAAAACATATTTCCTAAGCAAATGGAAGCTTTTCAAGGGAGCGCCAACTCTCAGCCCTTGCCAAAGCCCCGAGAGTCCTAAAGCCACCCTGCCCCATCCCTGGTGTAGGCAACAGGCTCAAGGCAGGATGTTCAAGCCCTCTCCCTTCCTGAGTGGATTGGCCAAAACAAGTCCCCAACTTCTTGCTCACCACCAAAAAGGCCATCCCCAAAAGTGACTACAGGCTTAAGCTCCCTTCCTGAGTGGATTGGCCAAAAGTCCCGAACTTCTTCTTCACCACCCAAACTGGCCATCCCCAAAAGTGACGAACAAGTCCAGGGACTCGGGAAGTGAGCCGTAGACATGATTACTGCCCAAAGATCTTTTTCTTCAGACCCTTTCTTTGATTCGCAATCAATCATGACATAGGGGTGTGGCTCAAAATTAAACAATCGGAGGGGTTACCAAACCGCAGGTTTTGGTACCCATGTTTCCACTTACCAGGGTGACCAGGGTTCCATTTTGGAATTCCGCTTTGTGAGCCACAGCCGTATTCGTGTAACATGGAATCGCTCCGGATGGCTTCCTTCGGAGCCTTGGCGGACCAAACGCTCTCGCCTTGGAGTCGCTGCGGTTGGCGATGAGCACCACCCGGAGTTCTGGCCTATGGGGCAATGATGCGCATGGTCGCAGGATACCATGATCAAAGGAAGTTCAACAACTAGGTCCTCCAGATTTGA